TTGCCCGCTTGATGCGATGATTTCGTCTATCTTGCAGGACTATGATCTGATAGTACCCCTCTTGCCATTGGGAGATTTGGATGGCTCGTCTGGCAAGACCCGCCTTGGGCGCGGAGGTCGGCCGGGCCTGTACACCGACAACAACCCCTTCAAAGGCCGCAATGGCAAAGGCAAAGGATACTGGGGTGGCAAAGGTTACGACGCTTGGACAAACAAAGGCAAGCACCCGACTAAGGGCAAGGACAAATCTGGCAAGGGCAAGGGCTTTGGAGCTGGTAAGCAAGAATGGTTGCCGGAGGGTCTTAGATATCAGGGGGCCTCGGCTTGGAATCATAAGGGCAACAAGAATTGCTACGGCTTCAACCTGGGGACGTGCACGGACGCCAATTGCCAGAAAGGTGACCATTCGTGTATCATCTTTAAGTGTGGTGGCGACCACCCGGTTGGCAAGTGTCCTCTGAAGCCCAAAAAGTTGTGACTCGGAGGGCCCGGGGTTATGCCGGGCCCGGAGACATCAGGGAAACCTGTTCCTGGTTGTTTGGAGGTGTCGTCTGAGGTTTTGACATCGGATGAGCCCATGGCGAGTGAGGGATTGGATCCCTCGCCGTCGGAGCAGCCGACTTGCGACTTTGATGATGCTGCCGGGGCCCAGGCCTCGCACCAAGCTTTTTCCATGGAAGCAGAGCCTTCCGCGCGTATTTCCCCGCCAGGGAATCCTTTGCCGTCGTCAGGACCTCTGTCGCAGACCTCTGAAGGAGCACCCGATGCGACGGGTCCCACCGGACCTACTCGTGCAGTGTTACAGTGTTTTGCTGGCCAAGCGCAGCTGGCCTCGGCCCTAATCAAGCAAGGTTATTTTTCTTATGGAGTGGATCGTGTCAAGCACAAGTCTGCTATGGCACCAGTGTTGCAGATGGATTTGTCATCCCGGTCTGCGTGTGACTCCATTCTCACATGGCTGGACAAGCAAAAGGTGGCAGGAGTCATGCTTTGTGTCCCCAAACACACTCTGGAGCCCACCACTCTGGCTTTTGTTTATGCTGTCATCGCGGGCTGTATGGAACGCGACTTGCCCCTAGTTCTCGAAGGAGCTTCGGCATCACCGTTTTGGAAGGGTGTGGAGCAGCTCCCTGCGGGGCAGCTGCCACCTCACAGAGTTGAGGTCGAGTGGCGTTGTTGGAGCAGTGCACACTCTGGTCGGGCCTCGGTTATGTCGAACATGCCTGAGATAGTCGCTCTGCGTCGGGACGTGCCCGAGCCTGCGCCTCGGACAGCTGCACTTGGCGCTTCAACTGCAGGTTACCCGGCGGCTTTTGCCAACACCCTAGCTGAGGTATTTGTTGCAGGTCTGACGGCTCGGCGCTTACCGTGCCTTAACCCAGCCAGGATTAACAAAGCCGCTCGGGTGGCGGCGAAACAACAGCCTCTCATTGTCGGAAGTTGTGCCGGAATGGAAACTGGTAGTGTACGTCCTCCTGCCCCGCTCCGCTGGAGCGGATCCTTTTGCGGGCGCCAAGCGTCTTAAACAGGCGTGGCCGGTGCCTGAGGACGTTCGAGTTCTGCCCGGTCTCAAGACCCTTCCCGCAGACTCGCAGCTTCTGTCGCGGACTCAGGCAGGGGGGAGCTTGAGCCCGCAACTTCAGCAGGAAATGCAACAACTAAATGGTTCATGGGTTTTACGAGTGGGAATACCATGGGATCCCATTGAGTTCATTGGGCAAGCAGGAAAGCTTGGGCACCCTTTTCATCAACTATCCAAGAGCAACAAACCTCTGGAAGAGCTAATTGAGCAGCTGGTGCACAAGCCCAGCATGGTAAGTTCCAAGAGGAAGAGCTATATCGAACGATGGAGCAGACGGGCTAAAGCCTTGGAGCCCGAAGAGGCAAAGCTGAAAGCTGGCATGTCGCAACATCGGAGAAAAATCTTGGACTCGAAGCGCATCCTCCTCTTCAAAGAGATGCTTGAGGACATTCGATACGATGACATTGGAGTTGTCCAAGAACTCATAGAAGGTGCTACCTTGACCGGTGACCTCCCAGTAACCGGGGTGCTTGACGCGAAGCTCAAATCGGCCAGGATTGACGTTTCGGAGTTGATGGAAATCTCTGAACAGGTCAAACAGCAAATCCGGCACAGGACCGTTTCATGTG